TATACAGACGTGTTTTATGAAATTAAATCTGGCTTATGTGCTCTGTGTCATCAGATCCAAATCCATGTATATGCTACATAACATTCAATTATGCTGGTACTTGGAAATTAATAATATTAGTTACTTTAACTAATCGTGTTATGGCTTGGACTAAGATGACCGCACAAGGTCTTTTTCGCCATAATCCGGAAGTGCTTCTATAATAAACAAACGCTTACAACTGTTTATTTGATGCAGCTGCTGAGTTGTCCGCCTTTACCGCCGAATCTAAAAAATCTAGAAATCATTGAATCTGCCATCCTTGATTACAGTTAATCACCAGATATTTAATTCTACTCCAGGCCAGGCCATCGCATTAAAATCTAATCGACTAATCATAACTTAGGTTGCTAGGTACTAAAGGAAGACTACTCCACTTAGTAGTCACTAGTAAATATTAACGTAACGCTGCATGATATTACATGATGCGAAGATTCTTTCCCTTCAATTTAGTTTCCCAATTAAAATTTTAAAATAGCTAAGATTTGCTATGCCTACTACTTCTAGGTCAATTAGTTACAAAATTAATCCCTTTTCAATCTGTACGCGAAACTTGCAGATCCTTTTGGCGATATTGATGCGTGTCTGCCATATTTGAATCAGTGTAATTTGTTTTTACTGCACGTACTCCAGCCTCCCACCTCGAATCTCGATTACTCGATATCCTATCGAGACCCTCGGGCTAAACTGCAAGCCGAGAGGGGAGGCGAGCTTACCCAGTCTATCATATTGTTGAAGTCGGCTAATTAATGTGATTAGTTCAAATGATTGCTGACTTAAGATCGCTTCGTGAAACAGATTTTAACTCATGATTAACTAATCAATAATTAAACGAGGAAGCTAGAGTATGATTAGTGAATTTAATACGCTTTGTGAAACCGGCCCCTGATGTTTAGCGTAGTAACATTATAACTAATAATAGCAATGATAACAATAATATAGTTGAATAGATATATTAATGAGGAATATATAACGTTTTAGTCACACCCACCTAATCGCTGCACTGTCGTTCGGCTGACGGGAGACTGCAATAATGCCATCTCCTTCTCCTTTTATTCTTGGCAACATTCCCCTAAAATGTGACAATGAACGATGAAGGTTGCACTCAAAGCTGAAGCTCTTTCAGAGGAAACTACACAGCTGTTTAGGTTATATCCATAGTTAGTTTTTATGCGTGCGTGTATATGTTTGAAACAAGGAATTGTTCATAATTTCCTCGTTCTATGACACAAACTTGTCATATGCGTATAATATGCTAACAGATTATCGCACAGGTTATACCTTGTAGCAAATACCCACATCATCTGCTAACATGACAAAAAGCAACATAATCAATTGTATATGGGATAAAGACGTCCTGTACAGGTATTATAACCCATGCCATATTAAATAGGGGTGGGACATCTCATCGATACATCGATGTATCGCGAACCTACCTGTAGTCGCTCAAAAACTTTGACGATGCATTTGACCATTGGACATCGATAGACACATGGTTACTCTACTGAATAAAATCCACATCACTTGGAAGCATATTTTCATCAAAAAACAAAGGAAACAAATGAAAATATTCACAGTTGTTTACTAAGCACTCCATGTTACCGATGTGTAAGCATTTACATGTTTGGTAGAGTCCCGGTTAAGTGAACTCTATGTTCTCTAGTTTCTGTTAAAAGTATCGCAATATATCAAGAGCTAATAATACTATATTAGCTATTATCTAGAGAGCTACAAGAGAGTATTCTAGAGAGCTTAGATTAGCTATCAAGAGCTATCAAGAGAGCTATCTAGAGAGCTATCTAGAGAGCTATCTAGGAGCTATCTAGAGAGCTATCTAAGAGAGCTATCTAGAGAGCTATCTAGTAGAGCTATTAGAGAGCTATCTATAGAGAGCTATCTAGAGAGCTATGATTAGCTATCAAGAGCTATTATTAGCTCTTGAATATATGCATGTATCGTGAAAGATCTTAGAATTCTGTATCGCGATCGGATCGTATCATGAGTTACCCGTGTCATCCAACCACTAACACCCAACACATCGGTGTCGGCACTCTTACTACGAGATGACTCGCCCGACGGAACCTACCTGTAGTGCACTCGTTGCAGACGGCACGCACGAACTCGCGCGCGGCGCGTCGCCTCGTTGACGCCGCGGTCGGTAGTTGACGCGAGACGTTTGAGACGAGGTAGGAAGCGGACCGTGGATGCCGCGAGCGCTGCAACGTTGACGCTCGCAGACAACACGACGTCGTCACCAGGGCCTGCGTGGTAGACGCGTCAGTGACGTTACACGTTAGACACCCACACATGGAAATATTTCTTGAATGTATTACAGTTGAAAGAAGCCTGCGGGCACCATGTAAGCACCCTGCATTCATGGGGAGGGGGATGGTCTCAGGGCATGTTTCCCCACCCCAAATAATAAAAACATTTTGATTTCAAGATGGAGTTCCTGCTAGTTGAGCAATTTTCAGAGTTTTGTAGCAAAAAACACCAAGGTCTTGAGGAAATTCTCATATGACATGTATGATATCTGCTTTTTCCCATACATAGTAGAACTGAGATGAACACATCTCCATATAATGTAAATGTTTAGTATTTTATTTATTTTCAAAACCCACACAAGACCTTTTTCCAGGATGGAAATCCAGCTAAGAAGAAACTCTAACATGCACATATAACACTCAATGTTTAGCAATGATCGCCAAGTATTCAGTTAATTAAATAGGGGTAGGCAGAGTGATATAATAACCAATAATTAATACACAATATTGTAATAATTTATAAATAAACTCCTTTCTGTAAGCAACACTTACTTCAGTGCCATTGCTGTGGCTAGGTGGCAGCACCTGTACAGTGGTGAGAGCTTGTGACGTCTGCTGCTGGTTAGCGAGGGCTTTTTGCTCTCTGTACGTCTGCTATGGACGAAAAACATCCTGTAAGACTTACGCCTTCGGCACAGATGGGTAGATATATACGTGTAGTGTATTAGTATCAAATGGAGCAAGCATTCCAGTACGGTAGAGCATCATGGCACGTAAACGAATGGTCTACCGCCGAGTTCAGTTCCGCAAACACTAGATGCTGATTTAATTTATAGCAATCTCATTTAATCCGATGATGAAAGCAGACAATTAAGACAAGCAATCAACACGGACGGAGAGTCGTAAAAATGACGACCCAATGCAACGATTCACCAATGACGTCATTATTACGTTGTACAATGTTCATATAACAACTCCCACATACAAGTTCATATAATAACTGCCACATACAAGTTCATATAATAACTCCCACATACAAGTTCATATAATAACTGTCACATACAAGTTCATATAATAACTCCCACATACAAGTTCATATAATAACTCCCACATACAAGTTCATATAATAACTGCCACATACAAGTTCATATAATAACTGTCACATACAAGTTCATATAATAACTCCAGCTCACAGGGCGCGAAATTAGCACCGGCCCACCGGCAAATGCCGGCAAATTATTTGGAGAGCCGGTAACATTGGCAAAGGACCGGCCCTCCGAGCCGGTGGTTTCAGCCGTGTTAGCGAGTACCAATATTTTCATTTATAGCATTAATGAGCAAATAGCCTACATTACTGTTTTACCTGAAGGATATCACGCTATAATTGATCAACATTTTACAAATTTGATCAAGAATGCAAGCGTGAAACATGAAATTTATTTTATAAACAAAATTTGTGAGGGCTGGCAAATTATGGTGAGGGCTGTTAAAAAAATGCTGCTACCAGCACTCTGGACCGGTACAAAAAATCTGAATTTCGTGCCCTGATATGGAACAGAATCAAGAATCATGATACATGTGTGATATTCTATAGGACCTACCGAACTCAACTGGGTGCTGGTTATTTTCGGTTGTGCAAATACTACTTCATTGGCTGTGTCTGGCTCCTGAAATACATAACAACTTCTCTGCAAACACTGTAGATGGTGAAATATACGAAAGCTTTCATGCTTATAAATTGAATTTAGCGTGAATTGTTTAGCAATGTGTTTTACCTATCCATTAGAATGAGTACTACAAATTTACAGTTAATCTGAGCGACGTTGGCAATGTGTTTACGGCTTTACGCTATCATTTATGGTATTGCAACGTGAACGCGCCAAGTGCTATATGCTACACGAGCAGTGCGTGCAGTATTCACCTCGACGTGGGGATAGAGTCCGAGAGGAGTGAAATCTACACAGCTGCTCGACTTCGCACTAGTGCCCTGCTGGCTGTTCTGCAGAGAGAAGTCGTTCTGCCCGTGGCTGCGAGTGTAGTCCTTTATCTGCCTGTAATAGCAGGAGATACTCTGGATACACGTAGACATGCTTGTGTGCATTGTGAGTGCATGCTTATGCGCAGACAAAAGCACAAAGCTGTTGTTGACTGCCTGATAAATAACGTTGAACAATGATCTAGCTCAACAAAGCAATAAGAGGATCGCACACACCTGTGACTCAGTTCGCTTTGAGGGCTAATATCATATACATCCCCAGGACTCCGTTGTCAAAAACAACCAAATTAGTCTAAACATTAATCTTATCATTATTTTTTTCTCTTACACCGTTGAGAGAAACATTGTAAAGTTAGGAGTTATCTATATGCAGTGCATAGACCACAAGAAAAAAGTACCATTAAGAACATTTTTCCCCAACAACAAGTTCCTGGCTCAGTCTTCTTTAAATCCTCTGACATTCCACCGACGTTAACCATGACAACGGGCCCCTGGCTGCTCAGTTCTATTTAAACTGAAATCCTACGTCCCCCCTAACGTTAAGCACTCACAGCTGGAGCTTTCGCGCTTCACTGCTGTCCGCGGACACGCACGTGATTCTCCTGCCGGCAGTGATGCCGGCGTGCAGCATGAAGTCGACGAGCTTGATGCCCCTCGCCGCAACCTCTGTCGCCTCCCGCGTCGCATTCACCGCCTCTCAGCGTGGCAGTTGAGAACCTTGATGAAGGTGCCAGGCTGCACGTGCACAGAAGAGAGAATACAGGTGATCGAGTCATCAGGAAATGATCTACTTTCGCATGCGATTCGGTTTGAGAAAATCGGTATTACAAATCCCTCAATTCGATTTCGTAAAACCCTAACAAAATTTACTTTACTACGGTAGCTACACGAGCTTGTTTTCAATACGGAACAAACCACATGCACCTTGTCATAGAAAGCCATACCTATATACGTGAAAAAATTATTATAAATATTGTATTATACATATATTGTACCTGCACCGTTATAAGGGAGAGCAATACAGACATAACGCTAAGGTGCTAACACTATCTTACTGCGGTTCGATGCGATGAGTGGACATTATACCTTGTATAATTCTGTATAGATTTACCTTGATGGTGTACCGCCCATGCTCAGCCTGGTCCCCGTACAAGAACAGATCGACGGTAACTCCTCTGGAATCGTATACGTTTTGCTCCATGTCTTTGGCTGTACCGGCGCGTCGATCCCGCTAGTGAATGCACGAAACCGACCGCGGTCTGCGCCTGCAGGCTGTTGTTGAACATGCTAATCTGTAAGGAAACACAGGGAGTCTACGTGAGTCCGCACCGTCATTTACGGTGGAAGCTGCGACGGAGAATCAAATCTAAATACACCGATAGCCGTCCGCCGCACGTGGATCATGGTCCCATGATTGTTACCCTGTCAGAGCCCCCAGGTGTTTAATTAAACACGAGCAGATGTCATTCGTCTGGGAATTTCTTCTTTGAAATGCTGTCAGCATTGCCTAAACTGTGAGAGAGTAGTTATTTCTTTCTCTGCGTATATCCATTGCGTATACGTGTGTTGCTATGCAATGCAGATTAACCAGGATGGTGCTGTAACTGTCATGCATGTATTACAGCTGCTGCTATGTATACGCTCCACACAAGACACACGGCATGCCAAATCTGTAGTGATGGGAATCGGCTAGAATTTCATAATCGATTATCGGATTCCCTTAACCGATCGATAATCGATTATAATCGGATAATCGGTTAATAATAGCATAGAATTTAATGTGTGGAGGAACCCCTGAGTGAATCACTCAGGGTGGTTTGCTGGTGCGTTTCCAGAAACTAGAACTTCCAAACTGGGTTTATTTTCAACACGAACCTTTCTCCGCTATCCCGGAACTTACTATATGTATCACAATATTCTGTATTAAACTAATATAACCTGTTATTGAGCGCCATTTATGTTGACTTAGCTGTAGCATATTCTATACTATTACTGCGGCGCAATAGTATGTAGTATACATACTAGGACCTGTGGATACTTAAGTTGTAATATGAATTGGACAGTTCCTACTTCAAAAGGCACAATTAACGCACATCCTTCGGACATGGTTCGTAAATAAAATGTTTCAATAAAATAAAATGATTTCCCGACCGACCTACCCTATTTTTTTTGGCATGAAACGGTAACCACACCTATATTTTGTTTTGGCCTTATAGCAGCGTAGCAACAGTCATGTCGACTTGAAGTGACTACTATATGGGCTTCTACCTAATCTAGAAATTTTTCGACCAGTATCCCTAACAATAATTATAATAGTTAACACATGTATGATGTAGCCTGTAGAGTGTAGGCCTATATGTATATGCATTTTTGAAAATAAAGTACATTATAAAAAAAGTGGCTCAAGGATAGAGAGCATGTCCAGTAATAAACATCATCCTATCCTATCACCGTCCAGGACATCATCTCTATCCTTGAACCGATTAAGAATTGCCATTTCTAGGAATGACTCCGAATGTGACCAGAAACTGCAAGTATTATAATTAAATAGAACTGTATAACTATAAGTATATGTTACCAATTAGAAATTTTATATGTTCAATGTTCTTCGGGGGTTCAGACCCCTGTCTTGTGATTCTTCGAACGCTATAACGCAGAATTTCAAATAACAGCAACACTCCAAATGCAGTTAAAACTTATATTCTTTCAAGTTTCACAAACACACGTTGGTTTGCAAAATCGATTTCCTATCTCGGCAGACTCGCTCCCGCGCGTCACTCCCTCCCTTCGCAACACGCCAACCAACGCCATCTCGCGTGAATAAAAACGATAACGATACCCCAGTGCGCACGCGTATACACTGTTTCAACGTTGAATCTTGGTTGAAACTACGTCATGACCAGGGGCGGCGCCTGGGTATTTTCTTAGGGGGGGGGGGCGAAGCCTTAATTGGGCGTGTATAGGAGCACGCGAAAGGGGGGTCTAAATTTTTGAAATTAGACCTCCTCAGATGCGTTTTCTGCGCGAGCAGGGGGCCGGGTCCGGACCCCCTGGACCCCCCCTGTACACGCACCTAGAAACTGTAGCCTCTGATACCGTGTGCGCTGCACTGACGGGGTGGGGTTCAGGCGGCTAGAATTCATGATTCATCAAGCTGCGTACGCAAAAATATTTTGCGTATATCTTGTGTACGCAATCGAACGTTGCTTAGCTTCGCGATTTATCAACGCCCAGTTTATTAGTAAATTTGCGTACGATTTCGCGTACGCAAGCGAGGCCGTTTTAGGTGCGATTCATCAAGCTAAAATTTACGTAAGCCTTTGCGTAACTTTACACGAGCTGACGAGGTGCCGTAAACCACTCGAAATTTTCGCAGGTGTTTCCAGCATACCGCAGCATGCATTATTTTATAGAGAAAACATTATAAAATTACTACTCAACTAAAAATAAATAAATAACTACCATACTACACAGACAGGCGGCGCCTTTGACGCTTCTTTTGTCACAGCTTGGCATTGTTTTCGTTATAAGCGTTAGTAGTTAGCCGTGTACATGCACACGCACGCACGTGTACGTGCACACGCGCGCACTTAATTGTAGTTGCACACGCACGCACTTGTACGTGCACACACATGCACGCTCGCTCGCACGCACGCACACATGCACGCACGGGTTGGGTTAGGTTGACTGTTTGTACTTGTGTGTATATTTTGCTCGGACGAATATCCACGTCCTTAGGTTTAGGGTCACAATTAAGGCACCATAAAACAGCGTTACGCATTTTATGGTACGGAAAAAATAGAAGCGGCCGGGACCCGCAGTCGGAGCCCGCAGTGAAAAGGTTTTAATAATTAGAATTAGCAAGAGCTGGGATTCGGGCTGAGTCCTGCCCCTCCCCCGCACAACAACAGCTTTCAGGCCCGTCGAACCAGTTTCTTTTTCTCTTTTTTTTTTTTTTTATAAATCATAGGGGGGCAACCGCCCCCCCCCGTGACGCCGCGCCTGGTCATGACGGAATACAACGTTCAATCAACGTCGAAATGTACAACGTCTATTCAACGTTGAAACTGACGTTGTTTCAACGTTATATATGGGTCGAAATTAGGTTGCGTTTTTACCCACCAAAAACACAACTGTAATACGGCGTTTTACCGCAGCATTGAAGACATAGAATTCGCAGGAGTTATAACGTGATAAAAAAATGTCATGTAAAAGAGCAGCTACGCGTAGGGGGCTTAAGCACAACGGGAAGCAGGCCGACGGCCTTGCCAATTTACGGTAGCCATCTGCATGAATATACGGGCGTTATAAGACTAATGATTAAAGTGAAGCGCAAGGTGTAAACGGGTGACATATGTCCTAGCCCGTATATGATCACGTGCTAGCGGTACATCCTGACAGAAGTGACCACAAAGGTCCATTAGCCATAAACGAGGACATGGAGGGGTTAATATGGAAACCCGGATGGTTTTATAAGCCCGCTAGAAATGTAGAGAGGAGAGCGACCTGGCCTTCCGACTCTGATTCGTATGTTAATATTGTAATCGTACTGTGTTCTATACTGTGTTACACAGAGTACTGCGCACTGGTACAGGTACAGGTACTGGTGATGTACTGGTGCGGGTAGTGCTGTACAGAGAACTGTACTAGCCAGTACATAATTTGACCACGTTAATGTCTTAGCGCATAAACAATATCTCACCAGCTAGACAGGTTATATTTTCGAATGAATATTAATTTAATATGGTTAGGGCCGGGGTATCTCAACATAGATTTCTGGTATTAATTTGTATCTGTGGACCTGTGTTTATAATTAGGAGGGCACCCTAGCCTGGAGGGAGTAAAACCCCAATTTTATCCCCTCCCGTCCTCCCCTTTGCCTCCCTTGTCCCTCGCTCAGTCTGCTTCGTCTTCCTCCGCCCACTCACCTACCTTCCCTGCCGCCTGTCATCAGTCTGCCACCCCTCTCCCCCTCAGCAAGCTATATTATGTAGTTTTCTTAAGTCCGTAGTGCACGCCCGAAGCGGTGATCGCGCATGCGCTATATCTCCCGGGAAGAATAAAATTATGCAACGATTATGCATTTAAAATGAAGAGAAGTAATCCTAGCATAGACTTACCTGATGATATTCTATCAGTAGCCCTCACCTCAGATGTAGGAAGAAGACGGTGCATGTAAAGTCCCTGCTGCATATACCATGCAGTCAACAGTGGCGTAGCTAGGAATTTTTTCAGCAGGGGGGCACTGGGGGGCCCTTACATTTTCGTGGGGGGGACACAATATATAACTTTTCTTTGTATTATACTGTTCTAACGGCATTGTTTTTTATTCAATTTTTGTATCAAGCATGAATGTTCAGTGGGGGGGGCACCTGGGGAGGCACAGAAAATTTGTGGGGGGCACATCCCATCCCATCCCATGCCATCTGATCGCATTCCAGGCCATCCCATCCCATCCCATCGTTATTTGGCCATCCCATCTGTGCATGCATCCATGCCATTTTGCCATTGCCATCCATCCCATCCCATTAGCAATCCCAGTCCATTCCCATCCCATCCCGAAAACAGTAAAAAAATAAGATAATCAAAAATTCACTTCCAAAGTATGTTCTCCAATAGACCTAGCGAGTACAGCACGAGAGCTTAGGTATGGAAAGGCGTGGTTAAACGAATCACAATACGTTTCTAATTATTTCCTGTTTTCTGATATTTTTTATCTTATGCCGTTAAGATTTTTCCAATTAACGCAAATATTTACATGAATTATTTACAACATTTTTAATATACATAACGATAATTTTCTACAAAACAATTAAAAAATTTAACTTTTTTATAATTTTTACCATATGGTTATGGTTAGGTAAGGTCCACAATGCAGTGAATCACCATAAAAAAACAGGAGTTGAGCGCAACGTGATTCTGTATCAACCAATGGAAGCGCTCGTCTCTAGGAAGCCCTTTATGTCGATTACCTATGAACAAAAATCACGCCCGCCCGGGGATAGCATACCCAGGATTGTCAGGACGTGATGTTGACCTGTGTACGAAAGGTGGACCCTCCATCTATTGGGATCAATAGAATTTTTTTCAAACAATGTTGTTCTAACTTTTAACTTTTTAAAATTTTCTGGACGCTTGCTGATCTGAAAAATATCTTTCAGTTTCTCTAAGCTGCGCGACTCGCTAGTATATGCGAGATACCATCACTATTTCGGCGAAGAACAACTTTGATATGATATATAAACTATATATATAAAAACTCATATAGTAGAGCATGGATGAACAATAAATAAACTACATGCAAATAAAAACTTGAGTCCTACCTGAAGCCTGAGCTGATCGTCCAGCAATACCAAATAATGCATATGCACAGGGTCCCAATATATAAGACATTAACGGAAAAAAACGGCTTCATAGAAAGGCAATGCTGAAACAAATAATTGGACAATTTGTACAATAATTGAAAAGCACATCAGTCATTACAAAGAACAATAAGTGGAAAAGGCGAGGGCATGAAATAACTAAGTGACTGCGCGTTGATATTATAGGCATATAGTACTAATTAAACTTTATAAAGAGGAAAAAAAAATATCACACACAGTATATATATATTATATATATATACATTATATTATATATAAACTAAAAAAAACCAGCACGTTGTTTTGTCACCGTTAATTTCGCCGTGATCCTTGTCTTAACGCGCATTTGTTTAGACTTTATGTTTTGGCACGTTTGGAAGGTCAACAAATTTTTGGCGGCGGCGATGATCTTAAAATTGCGCGCCTCAAATACGATTAAACAGCAATAATGGCGTAAATTACCTGTTAGATGGTATTTACAACGGGTTTCGGTTCGGCCTTTTGGTTTAATACTGTTCAGCACAGAGCATATACATATATATAAACTTAAAGTAATAAATTATTCATGAATGGCAGGATGAATGAGACATGCAAACTATACATGAGTGATGTAAATAAAACAGTATGAGTACAACAACAACAACAACAACAACAACAACAACAACAATACATGATAGTAACGTGACATGTCGGTTCTTAACAAACGTTTGCCAAAAACATTTTTACAAACGACTACGTAACATTTATAATATGGTTGTTAAATGGTTCCCTAAAAACGTTGAACCCCAACGTTTATTTATTGTTTGCATTACCAAGACTATGTTTAGGTTCCTGACAAATGATTGCCAAAAAACGTTTAACGTATTACACTTGTTTAAATATGTTTTGTTTGTATGTATTGCTTTCGTACGCAGCATGTGTGCGCTATGTGTAATGCATGAATTACATGTTTGCAATGTATTTATGCATTGATTTTGGGTACGACGTTTGTATAATATGTGCTGTACATGTATAAGATATTTGCAATGTTATTATGTATTGTTTTCACGTACTACATATGAATATTCTGTATAATACATGCATTACATACGTATGCGCAAACTGTATTTATGAATGGTTTTCATGTACGACACCTTTATACTACTAAGTTGTACATATAATACATATATGTAATGTATTTATGTATATATGTATTTGTTTCACGTGCGAGAAGGCTATGTAGACACGTAATTTAAATGTAATTATAATATGTTACATTAATATCATTAATGTACTACATGCTTAAAAGCGCCCCTGCTTCACGTC